GTGGGAAGTGGCTGGGAGCTGGGTCTGGGGGCTTGTATGTTTGGTGGTCAAGGATACTGGCGTGCCGGCCTTCTCCTCCTCTGGAGGCCCAGGTGTTGGAGCAGAGCCTGCACCACAGGGCTTCCGCGGCTGCTCTTCCAAGAAGCAGGTCACCAGGCCTTTCTCCCAGGGCGCCTCTGAGCAGCTGAGTGCATTGCCCTTGTCACCTCCCAGGGACTACAGAGGCCTCGGACTCCATCTCTCCTACCCGCGCCCGGGCCCTTAAGCTGGCAGGCAGGTCAGAGCAGGCATGCCAACACCATGCCAGTGACTCGCACTGTCTTCCAGTGGGGGTGAGGTCCGGAGACATCCAGCTGGGAGGCGGCAAGCCTACCTGAGCAGGAAGGTGGAGGTGTCCATGATGATGTTGCTGGAGAGAGTGAAGGTCTCGGCGGTGATCAGGACACGCACAGGGAGGTAAAGGGGCCTGGGGGGCAGGGGTGTGTGTGTGTCACACACACTGCTTCCCCCCAGGAGCTCGCCCGCCCCCATCTGGCCAGCCTGTGTACCTGTAGTCCACGGCGCAGGAGAACAGGTGCGTGTGGAGGACCGTGATGACCGTGGGGGGCAGGTAGCCCAGCACAGGCTCGTCCAGCACGTCTAAGAAGTCTAGCAGCTTTGGGGGTTGGGGCAGGAGGGCTGTGAGGGGAGCCCCTTCTAGTGCCGGCCTGCCTGTTCTGGCCCAGCAGGGACCCCGTCTGCCACAGAGCTCACCGCCCTGCTGCCTGCCTGCCCTCCAGTCCATGCCCATGGCTCTCGCCCCAACTTATGCCACGGACTGCCCCCTTTTCAGGGAAAATTTTAAAAATCACCCGGCACCCGTGGCCATGAAACTTCCATTCGCTATAGCCCACAATCCAGGATAAAGTGTAGGTATCTGCCCCCACCCCCCACCCCGATCCAGGAGCCCCGGTGGCATACTGGTTAAGCACTAGGCTGCTAACCACAAGGTTAGCAGTTCGAAACCGCTCGGTCACTCTGGGAGAAAGACGAGGCTTTCTACTCCCGTGAAAAGCTACAGTCTTGGAGACCCTTAGGGAGAGCTATCATCCACTCCGGGACCCACGGACCGTAGCCCTGGTGGAATGAATACTGATTCCAAGTTGGGCTGATAACCACAAGGTCAGCAGCTCAAAAACACCAGCAGCACCTCCCGTCAGTCAGTCTCAGAAACCCACAGGGAGCGCTCAAGCCTGTCCTATAGGGTCACTCCGCGTGAGTGGACTTGAAGGCAGTGAGTGTCCCCACCACCACCCCCTGCCCCGCAACCCAAGGCCAGCTTGGGCCCTGCCGAGCCTCACCTGGGAATGCCAGCTCTGCTCGGGCAGGGCCATGCAGTGACGCAGGGTGGCTCTATGCAGGCGCATTGTCACTAGGAACTCCTGGGGTGGGGGAAGGGCGAGGTCAGCGTGGCAGGGGCACGTGCCCCCCTCCCCCACTGTCCCCCAGTCCAGGGAGACGACAGGACACGCAGGGGCAGCCGTACCTTGACGTTCTTGTGTGGGTCCAGGTGAATGCGCACTGCAGTGGACAGCATGGGGGGTGGCCGGCCCTGGCCCTTCTGGCTGGAGGCACCCCGCTCAGCTACCCCTGCCTCCGAGGGGTAGATGGTCGGGCTCAGCTGGGCCGGCGGCGTGAAGCTGGGCACCTCCAGGGAAGTGGGCAGCGGGTAGTCATCCACAGCCCCTGGGGAAGGAGGTCGTGAGCACCCCTCCACACACACACACACACACACACACAGAGCCAGGCAGCGTCCCGCCCTGCCCGAGGACCCTGCAGGCACGTGCCCCTCGCACCTCGGTGGTAGAGGGTGGCTGTCTCGGCTTCCAGGCAGAAGTAGCCGAGCCCTGGCTGGCCGCGGTGCTGGGAGACGCTGAAGAGGGTGCTGTGCTCCACGTCCAGTACCAGCTCCCCGTGCTGGGCCTCCAGCCGCTGCCCTCCCTCGCCCTGCAGAGAGCACGGTGGGCTGGCCATCGGGGCTCAAGGGCCAGAGGACGGAGGCCCTGGGCAGTAGTACCTGCCCATCTGCCTTGGGCAGACCGCAGCCGTGCTGAGGCGTGCATTACTGGTGGGTGGGTTGGGCAGGTGGGTGAGCAGCGTAGCCCCACCTCCTGCCCCATCCAGGATGGGCCACCCCCCCCATGTCCCCCAGCGGTGCTCACCTTGCTCTCACAGAGGGCGGTGACCCGACCCCTCAGCACTGTCACCTGGACAGAGAAGGCACTCTGGGAGTGGGGGTTCGGGGGCTCTCGGGTGGGGGGCACGCTTGACGCGCCCACTGAGAAGTAGCGGGTGTCCTCGTCTTCAGAGTCTGAGTCTGGGGGAGAGGAGGGCGGAGTGGGAAGGGGAATCCCAGGCCCTGAGGCCCCCCCTCCCAAAGGCCTGCGGCGACCCCTCCTTACCCAGCTTAAAGGCCGACTTGCACATCCTGAAGGGGTTGGGGAAGCCGGGGGGAGGGCCGGTGGGGCCGGGTGTAGGGAGAAGGTCTGCAGGCTCCCACATGAGCAGGTCGTTGTTGATCCTGAAATGGGGGTGTGTGGAACAGGGGGCAGCCGTGGCAGGCCCCCCACCCCACCACCATGCCCTGGCCCAGCCGCCAGCCCGCACCTCACCTATTGTAGATATTCTCATAGAGCTCCTTGCTGGGCAGGAAGATGTGGGCACTGGGCAGGCTGACTTCCAGGCTGCAGCGGGACAGCGCCAGGGTCCGGTTCTGGAAGGCTCTCATCTCCTCGGGGTCTCCAGGGATCACCATCTAGGTGGGGGGCAGGGGGTGCACAACTTCGGCCTTGGGGACGAGCAACAGAGGCGCCGCACCGGCTCTGCAGACCGGAGTGCTGAGGAAGCCCCAAGAAGGTAGGCCAACCACGGGGCGGGCCATTGGCATCTCTCACAATCCAACCAGTAGCCCACCTTACTCGTCACCCCGTGAGGCCGACTGACCCGAGATCGCAGAAGCGCCCCACCCCGTCCGGCTCAGCAGCCCCACAGGCTGCCGGGCAGGGCGCCCCACCTCACCTCCTCGGTCTCGTACATGGTCCTCCTGGAGGAGAAGGGCGAGGGCTCGGGCTCCCGTAGCTCACAGGGGCTCTCGGTGGAGGACACCTCCAGCTCCACAGCCTTGTCCAGCACCCCCTCCCACGGCGGGAGGCCAGGAGGGGGGTTCAGCGTGACCACTACCCTGCCGGGGGGCACCACCCTGTCATGAGCCTGCAGGCCCCGCAGCCCCTCTCCTGCCCACCCGCCGGCCCCCTCCAGGGGCCACCGCGGCTTACTGGGGCAGGAAGCACTTGCGCCCATGGGCCTTGGGGTCGAGGGCTTTGGAGACGCGCAGGCAGGGGACCGGTGGCTTCTCCCCGTCTTCGTAGGCGCCTGGGGCAGACCCGGGAGAGCGGTCACCACAGCCTCCCCGCTTCCACCTCTTCCCGGGTCAGGCCAATGGGGGCTGTCCTTTCACACTGGCCACTGCCCTCCCTCTGCTCGTGCTCACAGGCCACAGGGGCAGGAGGGGAGGACTCTGCTGCCCTGGGCAGGTGTGATTCCCAAGTGGCTCTTACCATGCAGGTTGGAACAGGTAAGCTCCAGGCGGGTGGGGACCGGGGGGCCAGGCCCACTGCTAAGCTCTGACCGGAACTGGGGCTCACTCAGCTCCAGCCGCAGCTGCTCCGTCCGCACGGCCCGGCCAGCCCAGGGGTCCCGCTGGGGTCGTAGGTCAGCGATGGGGAAGCGCAGCAGAAGGGTGGCGCGGGGCGCCGAGAGCCCCACCACCATCCGCTGCTCAGCGGCAGCCGTTGGGGGCTCTGTCTGTGGGAAGGCCGCCAGGCACAGGTCAGAGCCGCCCACTGGACGGCCTGCCTGCGGCGCCCCAGCCTCCCCCTGCGGCTCCTCACCATCAGGCCTGCGGGCCGCTCTGGGGACCGCTCTGTGGGCATGGTGGCCAGGCGCAGCGCGGCAGTGAGCCTCTCCATGACGGCCAGGTCCACTTCTGCCTGGAAGTCGGCCAGCTCCAAGACCACCTCTGAGTGGCAGTGGCACGTGGCCTGCCGCCGATGCCGGCTCTGTGGGCGAGGGTGCCCAGGTTCAGCATGGGCTGCAGGGTGCCTGGAGCAGACCCAGCACACCAATCCCTCCAGGGGGAGAAGCCCCTGCCTAACGTCACTAGGGCTTGTCACACTGGGGCAGGAGGGGGCAGCACAGCCAGAGAGCACAGGGGCTCCAGCAGGAGGGGCACAGGGCAGTCACCTTAGAGGCTCGTCGCAGGGTCTGTGTGTGACGCAGGCGGGCACAAGGCTGGGCGGAGACCTGGGAGCCCAGGCTGCCGGGGAAGCTCAGAACCTGAGGGGTGGCAAGGGGGTTGGTCAGCGGGGTCCTGACCGGCCCGAGGCGGGTCTGCCCCACCTGCTGGACTGGCCCACACCTCTGTGTACTCAGGCTCCAAGGTGGCGCGGGGCCACAGGCACTCTAGCACCTCCAGCTGCCCGAAGCGGACCTCCGTGCTGGTGGCGCGCTGGCCCTGGGCGCCCGTCCGAAGCTCCCAGTTCAGCTGCATGGCGGTGCCTGTGAGCCTGCAGGCAGAGAACAGGCCTGAGCCGGCGGGCCAGGGTGCTCTGCCCGGGTGCACCACCCCCACGCACTCAGGCCCCCACCACGGGCCCATACCGGACATGGCTGTGGGGACAGGCCTTCTGGAAGCGGGACCGGAGGTGGTGGAAATCTCGAGTGCCAAAGGGCCCGTCCTTGGTGGCATCGAACTCGGCAAAGAAGCAGGCGATGAGGTTGGGGGGCGGGGCGTCCGGGGCAAAGGTGTGCAGCAAGGTCAGCGTGACGCCCCCCAGGGTAATCTTCAGCAGCGAGTCGGGGCGCAGCGTGTCTGGGAGGGGCGTGGGGGCCAACTTGCCTGCAGGGACAGGGGCTTCACCAGGGGCTCTCCAGAGCAGGACGTGGGAGCTGGGGAAAGCCCTGGACCTCGGACCACCCAGTCTGGTGGGCTGAGCCCGTGCAGGTGGCCCTCGGATGACACCAGCCCTGGGAAAAGGGGATTCCGCGCCAGGGACTGGTCCCAGGCGCTCTGCCTCCATCCACAGGGTCCCCAGAGAGGGACGCACCGGCTGGGCGGGCCTGCGAGAGGCGGCGGGGGCCGGGCCCGCTGTGCACGGAGGAGCTCAGGTCCACTTCGGACAGCGAGAGCTCGGAGACGGTGGAGGTGATGCTGCTGGTCAGGCCGGCGGTCATGGAGAAGAACAGATCTGCAGGTGAGGCCGGGTGGGTGGAGACGCCGGTTGGGCTGGGTCCTGGCTCTGCTCTGCCCTGCCGGAGCCGCCCGCCCGCCACACCCACCACTGCTGTCCAGGTTGACCAGGGGGTCCAGGCTGAGGGGCTCAGCCTCAGGCTCGGCCCCCGCCTGCAGCTGCTGGTTCAGGTCCTGCTCGATCAGCCACATGTCCTCCACGCCCAGTGGGCGGCTCTTGTTTCTCTTGTCCGCCAGGCCCTCGGAGTCTGTGAATGTGAGGCCTTCAGTCCAGCCCCCCCATCTCCGGCGCCCCACCCCCACCCCCACACGCAGGGGCCCAGAGGTCCTACCTGCGAGGCCCAGGTCAGCCAGCAGGTCGAGAAGCTGCTGGAGCTGCTGTGGGGTCAGGAGCAGGTGCAGGGAACCCAACTGTCCGGTCACCTCCAGCTGGGGGCAGAGAACAGCGATGGGGACCATCAGGACTGCGTGGGCCACCTTTGGGCACCCGGGAGCACCCCCACCCCCACCTGCTGTGCCCCAAGGAAGGCTGGATGCCTGATGCCTGGCCAAGTTCTGCCACCAGTTGGCTGTTCGACCCTGGCTGTGAAAGTTGACCTGGGGGAGTGGGGGGCAGCAAGCCATCCCTCACACCACTCAGCCCCAACCAATACAGGAGCTGGGGACCCACCTTGGGGCCCGGCAAAGCCTCCTTTTTCTTCAGCTTCACCGCCAGCTCAATGTACCCCGAGCAGCTGCCGATCTGCAAGAGGGGCTGTGGGGGCACCCCCTGGGGGATGGGGTGGGGAAGGAGAGTCAGCTGCAGGGCGTGGGCAGGGCAGGGGCTGGAAGGGGCCAAGGACGGCCTCCCACCTGTGAGGACAGCAGCTCGAACCACAGGCGGACCCCCGCCATGAGGAGCCGCTTGTGGAGGAAGGCGGGCGGTGGGCGCACGTCCACTGAGGGCGCCTGCTTGGGGTCCAGCAAGGATTCGTCATAGTACTCCAGCCTGTGGGGGAGGGAGGCTTGCTGGTCGGGGTCACCTTGTTCAGGGCGGGGCTCAGCGCTGCCCCCCATCCCTACATCTAGGGGCGCCCCGCCCAGCTGGCACCCACCTCTGAACATGGACCTCCAGTGCCAGGCTGCGCTCTGGGGCCTCCAGCGTGTGCTCCACCCTCACCACACAGTCTGCGATGACCACCTTGATCCTCTGCAGCACTGCGGGGGACCAGGGGAGCTCAAGGTCATTGGAGGTGGGACCCCCGTGCCCTGGGCTGGGAGTGGGGAAGAGGCAGGGCCACTCACCAGAGTCGATGGTCTGGGCAAACACTTCCAGCCCGTCCAGGGGCTCTGGCGACTCTGAGGCATCGGGCACCCCCTCCCGCAGGCACTCCTGCGCCATCTCCAGGCTGCTGGTCATGCAGGCCGGCACGTGTCCCAGGCCTGCTTGGGCGGGCAGGAGGGGCTCAGGGTAGGCAGACCCACAGCCCCCTCTCCCCACCCCAAGTGCCCAGGCCCCTCCCTGACCTGGGCCCTGGCGGGGCTGCAGCAGGAGCTGGAGGCCGGACACGTGCACAGTGCAGTGGTCGGTAAGCAGCGAGGCCCAGGGCACCTCCACCTCGATGGAGCTCACGAAGCCCTCCGCGAGCTCCAGGGGCAGCTGCAGGGGCTCCATTCGACAGTTCACGTACTGGGCGGGCAGGGAGAGCTGGCTCAGGGAGGCCCGGAGCTGCGGCCCCCCTGGGCCTGCCACCCCGAGTCATCTACCCACAGGGCCTTCCAGTCCAGTCCTGCCTGCCAGCTCCAGGCTGCTCCTCACTGCTCCCTTCAGAAGCACTTCCCAACACCTCCGCCCGTCCCTCACCCCTGCCCTATCCCACCCCCTTCCAGAGAGAAACCCATCCATCGGTCTGTCCCCAAAGGGGAAGGGTGCTCAGGAAGTCCTAACCCAGCCTGGGCAGTCACAGGGCAGGGAAAGGACAAGGCAGGGGGCAGCAGGTCCGGGGGCTGCCCTGGGCCTGGAAGGCTGGCTGGGGGTGATGGGGGGCAACTAGGGAGGGGCCCCAACTCCAAAGGCAGGGTGCAGTTGTGCCCTGCTTTGGGGAGTAAACCAAGAATGAAACCGCATTTGAAGCTGACTCGTGGCGACGCTGTCGGGCAGAGGGAGCTACTCAGGACAGGAAGGGAAAGCCCAACCTCTGCCCCTCGGGGATGGTTGGTAGTTTTGAACTCCCGACCTTGGAATCAGCAACCCAAGTAACCACCAGGCAACCGGGGCTCTTTTACGGTGCAATTAAAAGTGTTAAGGTGGAACCCCTGCCTCCTGCGATGGCCCTGGTTACACTGGGGAGAGACCTGTTGGCTCCCTCAGACGGACGTGGGTAGAGCCCTGAGTCTGGTCATCATCATGCTAAGCTGGGGACCCAGGCTCCCCTTCACACTGGCGTCTGGGGTCTTCCAGGTGCGGTTGCATGCTGAGCAGCTGGGGGCAGGGACTAAGTTTACTAAGAAAGCATCTCTGAGCCACCTGGGCCCAGCCCTTCCCTGGAGACAGGCTGGAACTTGGCCTAGCTAGGGGCCAATGCAGTTCCAACAGGGCTGAGCAGGGTGGGGGGTAGGAGGGTTTTCGGGAAGGACAAAGGGTCTGCCCTGCGGCCAAGATAAGAGGCTGAGGTCAGGGAAGGATCCCCCACCCCACTCCTCCACACACACGTATACACACTCCTGGGACTGACAGCAGAGAAGTCTCCAACTCAACTAATACTGCTCAGGAAGGCCTGGCTGACCCCAAAGCCCAGGGGCTCCTGCTCAGAGCTGTAGGTCTCCCCATGCCTGGCTAGAAGGCGAGGCTCCTAACCCCAAGCCCACCCCAGCTGCTCCGGCCAGGAGGGCTGACCCACTGCCAGCAGCTGCCAGCCCTCTAATTGGTGTCTCCTGTACAACCTCCCAGGTCAGTTGAGCTGTGAATCATGGCCCCTGGCCCTGGCCGCCCCCAGTCACAGGCCTCCGACCCAGACCTCAGCATCTCTGTGGGTCACCTCCTGGCCCGGGGTCAGGCCTCCAAGGTTCTTGAGGACTCCCTTCCAGGCCGGGATGCTGACCCCCAAGCCCTCCCCTGAACCCGACTGTCTGGCTGCGTCCCTCCCCAAGCAGGAAGCTGCCGGCAGCCCAGAAGTCACACGAGGTGTTGATCAACAGGGCTGACGCTTGTTGACATCCACATCCGGCGGGAACCCCACCCCCAGGCTGCATCCCGGGGGGGTCAGGAGGGCAGGGTCCCTGCCAGCAAGTGCTCTTCCAGGGGGCCGACCCCTGGCCAAGGCTGCCCTGGCTGCCCTGCCGACCCCCTCCTCAATTCTGTCCCCGCACTCCCCAGAAGCGTGACAGCCCCCTTCCCAGCCCCGGTTCCCCTCCTGGGACGTGGAGACCGGGACCCCTTCCAGCCGGCTTTCCAGGCTCTCCGGGGAGGGTCCCGGAAGACAGCCGGGGCCCCTGACCCTTGGAAAACGCCGGGCTCCCCCGCCTGGGACGCCCGGAGCCGGCCCTCCTGCCCGGCGCCGGTGGCTGGGGGCCTCGGACGGCGGCGCCCGCGCCCGCGGGGCCGCCCCGCTGCTCACCCAGGGCTCCAGGTGTATGTCCCGCAGGGCCAGGCTGCCCTTGTACAGGTCTAGACTGAGCTGCTCCAGGCTGAGGCGCTCCTGGAAGTACGGACCCAAGTAATACTGCAGCAGGTAGCGGCAGATCCGCTCTTTGACACAGTTGGACCATGGGGTCAGCCATCGGGACATCTCGGAGACCGCCGGGCCCAGGCCGTCCCCGCTCGCCGCTCGCCCGCCAACCCCGTCCGGCTGCGCTGTTCACCAGAGCCCCCGGCTCGCCCCGCCGCTTCTCCCAGCGCCAGGCCGCGCCCCCCGGACGCCCGGCCACGCCCCCCACGCGCGCTGCCATTGGCCGCCGCAAAGGGCGAGCCCCGGTGATTGGCCGTGGGGGCGGGGCCTTGCAGCGCGAAAAAAGGGGACTGGGCTCGCGGCATGACAGAGCGCGCCCAATCAGGATGGACGCTCGCGCGAAAATACCGAGGGGGCGGGCCTTTCACCTCCGTCCGCACGCTCCGAGAGGGCTGTTGGAGGAGGGGCCCGTCCGGCGAAGCAGTGCGCATGTGCCGGCTCTCCCGACCACGGCAGGTGGTTGGAGGGAATTTAAAGGGGCAGCGTCCCTCCAAACTTCCCAGGCAGCTTCCGGGGGACATTTAGCCAGCTCATTGTTTCAGCAAACATCTGCATGATGCTGAGCGCCTTTCCACCCTGTCCCACGTGTCTTAGCACCTGCTAGGTGGGGTGCGTCGCCACCAGGGTGCAGCCAGGTTAGGAAGGTACCCGAGGACCCAGGCACCCGGCTGTCCACTCCCTGCCCAGGAATCTCAATAGGAGGTCAGTTGACTCACCCTTCTCTCCGAAGCTGGTCACGCCCGGGGCCCCTCTCTGGAATAATCATACCAGCTCTTCATATCTGTAAGTCCGAAATTCAATAAAGGATGGAATCCAATCCCTTCCCTCGGGCTCAGATCTTTTGTTCCTGCAAGCTAAGAATGACTTTCCCATTTTTTAGTGGTTGAAATAGTAAAATAAAAAGACTCCTTGGTGACCTGTGAGAATCCTATGCCGCTCAAAGGGCAGTGTCCTAAGTCAAGGCTGTGTGCAGCTCAGCCAGCATGTCTTGTCCAGGGCAGTTGTCCTGCTAAAAGGACTGAGTTGGAGACGGGACAGGGCTCCACAAAAGCTTAAACTATCTGGGAGTGGCTACGCCCTTGAGGCTGTAATCCAAAGGGTCAGCCGTTCGAAACCACCAGCTGCTCCTCGGGAGAAGGATGGGACTTTCTACTCCTGTAAAGAGTTATCGTCTCAGAAACCGATGGGTTCCATAGGGTCACTATGACTAACCCCATCATTTTGGTTTGGCTTTTCCCTTAGCACAGCAGTTCTCAACCTTCCTCTTCCCGCAACCGGTTCATACAGTTCCTCATGCTGTGGTGACCCCCAACCACAAAATGATTTCATTGCTACTTCATCACTGTCATTTTGCTACTGTTACGAATCCTGTGATCCCTGTGAAAAGTTGTTTGACACCCCCAAGGGGGTCACGACCCACAGGTTGAGAACCAATGCGTTACAGGCCGTGCACTGACCCCTGCTCTCAGCCGGGTTGGCCACACAAAGTCCTGGATGCCTTGTTGAGAAGATGGAGCCTACAGCGATGAGGTGACAATCTCATCCCAAAGGCAGGGAACTGGGAGTCCAGTCCTAGCTCCGGATGGCCTTGGGCACAAGACAGCTGCCCCATGACCCTCCGTGTTACTTCCCGTGACCCGGGATAGGACAGCGTCCTGTCCGGAAGAAACTCAAGAAGAGCTGAGCAGCTCCTGAGAGACTAGCAAGGGCCGTCAAGTGGCCGTAGAAAGAGCCCCTGCAGGGAGGTGGCCTGAACAAGACCCACTCCCGGCCAGTGCGTTTGTGCAATGAAAGCAAGACAGCTCGTATTGAGACCCCCTGTCCGGGCCCAGGGCCCACCCTCAACTTCCCACGTGTTGTCTGCTCTTTTCCTCACCAGAGGCTCACGAGGGAGATGCTGTGAAAGTCCCCATTTCACAGAAGTGGAAGCAGGACCCTTGGGCCCAAGTAGCAAGTAAATGAGCCAGCGCTTTGTCTCTGTCTCCGGAAGGGCAGCGAGAACAGGCAGGGGTGTTCTTTGGGGTTCCTCGTGTGCAGCCTAGGACAGGGTGAGGGCTTACTTCCTGTGGTGGGAATGGGGTGTGCCAATGGAAAGACTGGGGACCTGGGCCGGACACCTAGGCCCCTGTGTGAGGCCGGGTTGACTACAGAAACAAATCCGGAGACGCTCATATATGTGTGAGAGAGAACTTTTTTTCCTTCTTGTTGTTATTTTATTTTGTTTATTAAAGATATTTTTTTTAAATCATTGTACTGGGGGCTCATCCAACTCTTATCACAATCCATACAGACATCCATTGTGTAAAGCACAATTGTACATTCATTGCCCTCATCATTCTCAAAACACTTGCTCTCCACGTAAGCCCCTGGCATCAGCTCCTCATTTTCCCCCTCCCTCCCCGCTCCCCCCCCAATGAACCCTTGATAATGTATAAATTATTATTTTGTCACATCTACACTGTCTGATGTCTTCCACTTAAAAAAAAAAGAACTTTATATCAAGATATCAAGAAGTAATTATGCATCAATAAAACATCCAGGATCAAGTCCTTAAGTCTGCTGTTAGTCCATATGTCTGATACGTTCCTTTCAGACTCACGCAGCACACGTGATGATGCCGAGTTCAGGAAGATCACAGGCCAGTGGGTGAAAAGTTTTGCAGCTCCAGTGGCGGTGGAAGCATCTCAGCGCTGACACGGGTCTCCACATGGCTCCTCCAGCGCTCCGACTGGGGCTCCTCGTCAGGAAGGTGAAGCAGAGGGAGAGGCTCCTCACAGGTCTCAGTAAGTCTCTCCTTCGTGGCTTGTCAACCAGAAGACCAAGGCAGAGAGAGAGAGGGAGTTCCCAGAATCTTCATGAGAAGGCCACGCCCACAAAGAGGCATCATCTGGCTGTGGCCTGATGGACAGGCTAGACCCCCACCCCTTCACTCTTAACACCCTCAAGTTGATGCAGGATTATGTAAGGACCACATCCCCCAACATTCCCTCAGTGAGGCCAACGCTGAAGTCAGTCTCTTTGTCATTTGATGGACCGATCGGTACATCTGTGAGTCTTCTCCCGAGGCCGAATCCCTCTATCGGCAGAAATCAATGTCTGAGCAAAAGCAAAAGATTCAACTAGAGTTGGGAGTAGTGTAGGCACCAAGGTCCTTCCTTCTAGACAATTCCTTCACCTTAGGAACCTCCACTGCAAGCCCAAAGACAGAGTCCTCCCCCAGCCTAGCTCCAGGCTTGGAGAAGGCCATGGATGACGAATGAAAGAAAGAAAACAGTGACTGGGTGGAGGGATGGACAGTAAGGTGCTGCTGCCGCCCCCCTGCCCCCCAGGGGTGATTCCAGGATTCAGTCTCAGACCTCACCTTCTGCCCAGACCCCCGGCGGCCATACCCCACACCTCCAACAAGCACCCTGGTGCTGCACCCGTCAGCCCCATCAGCTGACCTCGGGCGGGCCTGGCCCTTCGCCCTTCGCCAGGGCTTGGCTGCAGGTCGGGCCAGTGCAGGCCTGATTTCTCCGACTCATTTTCAGCGGCTGAGCACCAGGCCTTTCTTTCTAGTCAGTCATCGGCTTGCAACCTGCCACGGTTCCCCGTCAGCCGTCACTGACAAACCGCTGGTGCCTGCACTCGGCTGCATGGGCCACCACAGAACCTGGGTGGCTGGCCCACACAGGAGGAAAGACCACCACCACCACTGCTACCCGACCCCCACCCTCCACTGGATGATAGGGCCTTCCGGAGAAGCCATGGTGGGGTACTGATTAGGAGCTGGCCTTTCTACACCCCATTAACTTAGCCAAGCACCAAACTCACTGCCATGAAGTCCATGCCAACTCATAGTGACTGACCCCGTGGGGCAGGGCAGCCCCTGGGGGTTTCTGAAACTGCAGCTCTCTTTTGTTTGAATCATTTTAATGGGGGCTCATACAACTCTTTTCACGATCCATCCATCCATTGTGTCAAGCACATTTGGACATTGGTTGCCCTCATCATTCTCAAAACATGTTCTTTCTACTTGAGCCCTTGGGATCCGCTCCTCATTGTTTCCCTTCCCTCCCCGGCCCCTCTCCCTCACAATCCCTTGATGATTTATAAATTATTATTTTTTTGTCATGTCTTACACTGACTGATGTCTCCCTTCGCCCACTTTTCTGTTGTCCGTCTCCCAGGGAGGGGGTTATGTGTAGATCTCCTCCCACCTTCCACTTCCCCTCCTGTATCGATACTCTCATTATTGGTCCTGAGGGGTTTATCTGTCCTGGATTCCCTGTGTTTCCAGTTCCTATCTGTACCAGTGTGCATCCGCTGGTCTAGCCAGATTTGTAAGGTAGAACTGGGATCATGATAGTGGGGGAGGAAGCATTTAAGAATTAGAGGAAAGTTGTATGTTTCATAAGTGCTTCACCCTGACTGGCTCACCTCTTCCTTGTGACCCTTCTGTAAGGGGGTGTCCAGTTGCCCACAGATGGGCTTTGGGTCTCCACTCTGCACTCCCCCTCACTCACAATGATATGATTTTTTGTTATTTGATGCCTGATACCTGATCCCATCGACACCTCGTGATCACACAGGCTGATGTGCTTCTTCCATGTGGGCTTTGTCGCTTCTGAGCTAGATGGCTGCTTGTTTACCTTCAAGCCTTTAAGACCCCAGACGCTCTATCTTTTGATAGCCGGGCACCATCAGCTTTCTTCATCACATTTGCTTATGCACCTGCTTTGAGACTGCAACTCTTTAGGGGACGAGAAAGCCCCATCTTTCTTCTGTCTTTCCCCCCTTGCAGCCTGGTGGACCAGGGCCCCATGAGTAACCAACTGCTACCATGAAGTGTTGTGGTCTTGGAAACTCACAGGGGCAGTTGTACCACGGCCTTCAGGGTGGTTCTGATTTGGCATCAACTTGACGGCCAGGAGGTTGGTTTGGGGATGTCAGATGACTTACTAAGACGGGGCCAGGATTTCTCCAATAAAGAGGATGGGGAGGGGACCAGGCCATGCCTTAGATTAGGTTGAAACTTTGGGGCAAGACAGTGGCTCTGGGGCATGTCCTTGTCCTTGAAGGGCGAAGGATGGGTGTGGAGGAGTCAAGGAAGATGGCTGGGGGCCGTCAGGGCCCTGCCTTGCAGAAAGCGCAGGTGGGAGGTCTGCTGATAAGATAGCCTTCCTGGAAGGTGGCCCTCAGGCTAGAGGGAGGATGACCAGAAACAGGACTTTCAGAAGGAAGGCACCCCGCCCAGGTAGCTCACAGGCAACTAACTCTGTGTCTAGTAGGTTAAGCTGCGAACCACCAACTCAGCAGTTCAAAACTACCAGCCATTCCCTGGGAGCAAGATGAGGCTCTCTACTCCGGTAAAGAGTCACAGCGTCAGAAACGCGCAGGGGTCGTTCTACTTTGTCCTGTAGGGTCAGCATTGACTCAACGGCAGTGTTTAGTTTTTGAATATTGGACATGAAGGAGCCGAGCAATTTAATCCGTGACCACTCTGAAAGCCACAGACGGGTACACGTTGGGTGAACTCTGGTAAAGCTGTTGAAACGGAGCCCTGGTGGTGCAGTGGTTCCGCGCTGGCCTGCCCGCTGACGGCCACTGAAAGGTGGGCAGTTCAAATCCACCACTCGCTTCTGCAGTCACTCACTCAGGTGCTCCCTGCTGCGTAGTCCATGCGGACTCTGTGGGACCCCAAAGGACACGGTTGGAATGCCCCTGTGGGCGTCTGAGACTTGGTTCAAGGGAGCTATGGAAAGCCCCATCAGTCTCCCTCGGAGCAGCTGGGGGTTCAAACTGCTGACTGCGATGAGCAGGGCCCCCTCTGTAAAGATTGAAGACACACCCACACACAAGCCCCCACTGTCACCGTCAATGCCAGCTCACAGAACGCGTTCTTGTTCAACCCGAACTTCACAGTTAGCAGCCCCGTGGGGTAACCCCCCTCCACTCCTGGGGCTCCTGTCCATGAATGTGAGCCCGAGGACACCCCGTGGGACAGCTCTACTCTCTTTTGCATGAATGGGCTTCAAAACGTTGCTGGGAAGAGCCCATGATCTTTCCGGTCTCTTTCCAGGCACCTTGTGAAGCCCCAGTGTGAGCGGAAATGAATTCCACCGGGAGGGTTAGGGTTTTTGTTTACTTTTTATTAAAAAGATTATTTTATTGGGGGCTCTTATAACTCTTATAACAATCCATACATCAATTGTATCAGGCATGTTTGTACATATGTTGCCATCACTCTTTTCTGGACATTTACTTTCTATTGAGCCCTTGATAGCAGCTCCTCTTTTTCCCCCTCCCCACCCCCCCCTCGTGACCCCTTGATAAATGATCAATTATTATAGGGCAGGTTAGTTTTATGAAGTGTGAAAATAAAGAAATACCAATAGAGAGCTCAACCTCCTGCCCCCAGGTGACCTTGAATCTATTTGAAACCCAGTCTGAATGCCAGCTCTTCCCGGAAATCTGATCTCCTGTCTCATGTTCCCATCCCCCACCCTCACCCCACCCCAAATCAGAGGTTGCACTTCCTTCTGCATAGCTCTGGGCTTCATGGCCAGCCTGGTCTGCTGGCCGGGGATCCTGGAGTCTAGCCCTGAGGGTTCGGAGGAGCCCCCTCCCCACTAAGATGCCCCCCCACCCATGCTTCCCCCAGACTTTTCACCCACTGGCCTGTGATCTCCCAGCTTTCGGCATCATTGCATGGGCTGCGTGGGTCTGTGGGAGAATGTATGGACTAGTCTCGGACGTATGGGCCAATATCGAACTGATGGATTTGACCTGGACTGGGCCGAGATGTTTTCTTAATATACAATTACTCTTGGATATAAAACTGTCTTACACACGTCTCTGGATTTGTTTCTCTAGTCAACCCGGACTAACACATCGTGGTACCGGGAGATGGGGCCTTGCCCTGTGTACCAATTCTGATACAGGCTCCCCCCCAACCGTGTCTCTGGGTCCCTCCAACCCCTGGACCGGGGGCGAGAACTTCTTCTCCGGAACTGGAAGGTGGGTCCGAAAGGGCACCAAGGCCCACACGGGTGAAGCTACTGGAGCTTTGGAGCAAGAGGGTGGCCTCCAGGCCAGCAGGTCAGTGGTCCAGCCCTGTGGACCCTGGCAGGCTGTCGACCCTGCTGTGTGTTGCTTCAGCTAGTGGGCTCTCCTGGGTCCAGGCTGCCTCTGTGGCAGGGAGGACGATGGCAGGCTGGTTCCACTGGGGCAGTAGGCAAGTACCAAGGCCCCAGCCCACCCCAGTACGCCTTGCCCTCCATCCCCACTGCCGTGGACAGACGTGCCGTGGACCCGTTGTTCTTCCAGAGAGAACTTTAGCGACTAAAGTTTAGTTAGTACAGGGGGCTGGGGCTCACGGTTGAATAAAGGGTGCTGGGGTCTCCCCATCCTAGATTGGGAACTTTGGGCTGAAATGTCAAACTCTGGGAACCCCATCTGTGCCTAGATCTCCTGCGACCGCTTAATGGTTTTGAACCTGGGGCCCCCACCAGCGCCTCTTGGGGGACCAGAGGGACTGGGAGGTTCCCGCTGAAAGGCCAGGACGCCTGGGGTGGGGTGGCGTGGCAACGCCAGGAGGCCACCTTCTCCCACGCGTTGCCGCTCGGGGGCTAGCCCTTTAAACCCCAGACGATGATGTCACCAGCAGGCAGCGAGGGACGGGCGGGGGACTGCAGGCCCGAGGACGGAGGGCGGACTGCATCTCCCGGCAGCCCTGCCTCGCCGCAGACCATTAACCTGTCCAGTCCCGGCTTCCCGGGGGCTTCGGAAGCGTCCAGCCTTTCTGGGGTGGGGGTGAGGAGCGGGATCCCCAGGCGGTCGCCCGGGGAGGAGCGGGTCCTGCGAGTCCTTGGGCCCCGCAGAGGTGGCCGGCCCGTTTCCTGGGCCCCCCAGCTTCCCGGTGCCCCCTCCCGAGGCTTGCTAATTGGCCATGCAAGCTCCCTTCCAGAAGCCGGGGGTCCGTGCACCCCGGCGAGACGCGCGGCCCGCGCCGCTCGC